GTTGGCCTCTGCTCGTCATTGAAGACATAATATCGAACTGTTCATGGGTATAATCATCGAGAATAAGTTCTCTATAATCAGACTCGACAATGGGTAGCAACCAATGAGAAAGAAGAATCCATTTTCAAGGAAGGATGACACCCCCCACAAAGTTATACTCTGTATTTGGTGCGATATGTAGGGCATCGGCTATCATAGTGATTCTCAACGTGGGTCCTTAGTCCCACAAATGGGTCTGATAAATTTTTTAAATTGGCTTAGAGGTGTCCCAAAGAAAATAAGTGGCCTTTTAAATTATGAAAACATAAACTGCAAATAAAATGTATTTTCTTTTACACGTAAATCCCTATTTGTACTTATATGGGCCTGAAATCTTTTTGACACAAAAAATGAGCCACAAGAAAGAAAAGGTTGAGAAACCCTGAACTTAGAGGGTTCCCCAATGGAATCAATAGCCACGTGTTCATGACCAAGGTGAGCCGTCAAGTTGGAAGACATTGACTGTGATCTGACCTGGAGAGGGATGGAATCCACCAAGTGTAATTTTCCCAAGACATGCTATACATAAATGAATACTTAGCAAAACATGTGAATGGAGCTGGTCAGGTGTGAGAATACTAATATTGTGAAATTTTATATTGGATCTACTAAAAATGAATTTAAATTAAGATGGAACCAACATCTGACTTTCTTCAATAACATTAAGTATTGCAACCAAACAACCCTATCCAAATATTCTGGGCACTTAAAAGTAACAAATAAAACACCCACAGTAAAATGGAAACTAATAAAAAAAACGAGACCATGTTGATCTTTAAGTGACCCATGTCCTTTGTACCTACATGAAAAGTTATATATTTTTAAGTTTCGGAAAAATAAAAATTTATTAAATCAAAGAAATAAAATAGCAGACATTGTCTCATGTTTTCATAAAAAGAAATAATTAATTATAAAAATAATTTGCATAATTAGATATCTATTATTTGATCATAAATAAAATAGTTTATAGATCCATAATTAAATTCTCATATTCTAATTTTACAATACCATATATAGTTTATTAGTAAATATAATAAATATAGTATTTTAGAGCTTCATAAATAAAAATATAAATATAAATAATATGACTTAATCATATTTAAAAGTCCCTTTTTTAGTTTGAAAAATAAGTAAATAAATAATAAATAAATATGCCAATTGTATTGTAGTGTAACCCAAAATAAAATAAAAACAAACTGTGATGACACGTTCGCATAAAAGGAAGTCACTATCAACAAACAAAAATTTCAAAACCCCACGTAAACTTAACCGATTTTTACTTTGCCACATAAAAATATACTTGTATCTTGATTCGTCAAAAAAAGCCAACACCCCCTTAATAAAAGATTTTGAATTCTCATTCCTCCCCAACTGAAATTATATAATATTAATTGACTTATAAAGAGAGTAAATCTATTATTTTCGAAAGTTGTTCTGCAATGCGTGAAAATGGAACTGAACTTCAAATTTTAAGCTTAATTTAAGATTTAGGTTTTGGTTTTGAAACATGGTAATTTCTGTATCGCAATGAATACATATTTTTAAATAATAATTGTAATATTATGCTCTCCTGTGTATCAAGCACTGTTTTTAAAAAATAAATGTAAAAGAACTCTGGATTATAAATCCGACTGTTCTTTCTTCTTATTTTGATATATTTATATGTATATAGATATGTGTGTGTGTTTTTCAATTAATAATATAAACATATTGTGTGTATTTATTTACATACTGATCCTTTCCATTTTTCTAATGAGTTTCTTGATGTTAAGTTGAAGAAGGCACCGTAGTTTTTTCTGGCCCAAGTACTTTTAATCTTTTTCAAGATCCTCTTCAGCCCTCAACAAAATTTATTACGAGTGTAGCAGCAACGTTTTGAGGCATAATATTAAAAACTTCACTATCCAAACATAAAACATTTCCATTTCAGACAATATTTACGAGTCATGCAGGCTGATTACTGAGGTACATTTCTCCTATTACCGTCACTCCCTCTTTTTCAACGGTTACCCATGTAAGATTTGTCCAGGTTCCCTGTTGGTTAGCGTAACGGTTATCACTGAGGGATATTGAATCAACGAGCCGATTTCGAGATCAAGCTTAGTCGGTTGATTTCCCTTTTGCACTGTCGCCCTTGGAAAGGCATAAGTCTATCTTTTCTCCCTGGCTCCTAGATATGCATTACACCCGAGTATTTTGAACAGAAGTTGGGATTTATCCATTGTTTCATGGTTAGGATTGGGTTTCCTGTTCGTCCTAAAGTCTACTTCAATTCTATACTTCTAACGCTTGTCCTTACTTAAGCTAACACAATTCCACGCAGTAACCTTCTACCTTGAGTGTCTCGGGCGCCATGTTTAGGGTGAACCTAAAACAAACAAAAAAGAAAGAAAGAAAGACAGACTGAGCTCTCTGGCGTTTCATGGCAACATTCTAGAAGGACCAATATGAATCCTAGATCAGGGAGAAGAAGATGAGAAATGTTTCTCAAGTCAAGGAGACATGGTAATCCACAGATGATACGGAAAACGTATCTGTGAAGAGCCATGATCGCCTACGTCCTGAACAAACATGGCATTAAAAAAAAACCTATATCGGCATATGTGAGAAGCGTAGTGTTTATCAGCGTGGAAAGTAAAATCGATGAATCGATTTGAAATAAAAGTGCCATTTACTACCTTCCCTTTCGTGCTAAGGCCATTGAGAAAAGAAAAACAATCGCCTCTTCTTCCTCCAACTTTAGGTTAAATTGCAGGATAAACTGAGCTTTCTAGCCTGTTGTTGTGGCCAGTAAATAAGAAAGGCTATCCTCAAACCAAAACCGGTCTAAAGGCATCGGAAAACCACCTTCCCAAAGTATGGTAACTGATAGGGAAACAGTGGAGAACCACGACTGACTAGGTTATGAAAATGTTATAGTCCGAATTCCTTATACCACGGTGATAGTCAAAGGTAGAACCAATAAAGAAGAACTCGAACACAGGTATGGAATAACACAGATATATTACAAACAGGAATATATACAGAGAAGTAGAAAGTGTTAGTACGAACAATCAGGTTTAGTAGGGAGAACAATGTAGTCTCGACCAGTATCACTATTCCAATGTCTTGTAGTAATTGTCTGAACGCGACTCGGTTTCGGACTGCCTCTGACTCGACTCTTGACTCGACTTGAACTACTGACTTAAGTCACCCCTCACCACGAGGGCGTCATGTGGCACAAGGCCTTTTTAACGTGGGCTCTCCGAGCCCGTGGGCTCGGCCAAAAATATGCCCATTGAACCCGTATAAACGGGTTCAGGGTCGGTTTACCACCCCGAAAGAGAATCCGCCCTTCGGCGTAGCCTCGTTCGGGTTCCTCCCCGCCCGAAGGCAGAGAGTTCAACCGATCAGCCGGACGACCGAGATCGACTTGAACTACTGACGATATTGAGTCACCCCACCACGAGGGTGTCATGTGGCACAAGTCATTTTAAGGTGGGCATTCCGAGCCCGTGGGCTCGGCCAAAAATGTGCCCATTGAACCCGTATAAACGGGTTCATGGCCGGTTTTACCTCCCCGAAGGAGACTCCGCCCTTCGGCGTAGCCTCCTTCGGGTTCCTCCCGTCCGTAGGAAGAGAGTACAAATATTTTCAGCGAAATATTAAACCTAGCTTCGTCAGGCGCAAGGATACCATAGTGAGAACAAATACCTAAGCTGAAATTTAGTAAACGAGCGAATCGACTGATGAGGAGAGTTTATTATGAAGAAAAAAAAAAATGAGCCATTTTTGTTTAATTAGCAGCGATCTCCTGTTTACCAAACCGAAAACACCATTAAAAAAAAACAAAAACAAACCAAAAACAAATAGGAATCATAAGAGATAAACAAAACGAATAATTTCTATCTCCATATCTTTTGCCATTAGCAGAGGCCATGAAAGCAATGATCAGGGGAGACACAATATCTAAAGCACTCAGAAAACGTATAAAATAAACTCACTATCATGATCGTCATCATCGGCTTCGTTGTCACATTGGCCTCTGAGAGTACGACATTTCTCCCTATCCCTTCCCACATTCCCCGGCTCTCTTTATGCTCTTCTATATCTTAAAAAGCTTTTAAGCTTTATTGGTTGTACCTGCGAGAAAATGTCTCCTATGTGCGACTGATGCGTTCCTGCGACAGCAATCCGACTTTTAAAAGTTTTTCTTTGCTAAGAAGGCTTCATTCTCTTCTTTATTGCTCGTATTCTTGCATGTTTATTATTCTATCTATCTATCTATCTATCTATCTATCTATCTATCTATCTATCTGTTTATTGCAATCTGCTCATTATCTATCTATCTATCTATTGAAATCTCTTCTTTATCTATCTATCTATCTATCTATCTATCTATTGTAATATGTTTCTTATCCATCTATCTGTTTATTGCAATCTGTTCATTATCTATCTATCTATCTATCTATCTATCTATCTATCTATCTGTTTATTGCAATCTGCTTATTATCTATCTATCTATCTATCTATCTATCTATCTATCTCAGTCTGTTCATATCTTATAAGTAGCAGTTTTTTGTTGATATAATTTTGGTTATAGCCTAACGAAATTTCTTTCTTAAGGACTTTTTACCATTATTTTTTCTCTATATCAGACCTGTTTTTTCGTTTTCTGGAGAAAATCTATACATATTGTCCAATGTTTGAATGCTTTCGGCTTTCAAAATCATTATCAAAGAGTTGGCGTTTTACGCTATAGCATGTTTAATTTTTTTTTCAAACATCCCGTCTTCTCACGGTATGTAGTTTTCAAAAGTATCACGTCCTCCGATGTTTGCTGGTGATGTCATGTCGTTTAATTTCTTTCTCGTTTTCTTTCGTTGATCCATAAACAAATTTGTATATAGCGTGTGTGTGTGGGGGGGTATTATATATTATGATAGATGGATAATGACGGAACTGGAAAAGATGGAAGTAGACTAATATAAATTAAATAAGAGAGAAGGATATAATTTGACTGACATAGATAGATAGATATGAATAAACTGGGATAGATAGATAGATAGATAGATAGATAGATAGATAGATAGATATGAATAGACTGTGATAGAAAGAAAGATAGATATGAATAAACATAGATAGATAGATAGATAGATAGATAGATAGATAGATAGATAGATGAGAACATATTTAGAGAGAGGTGAACAGACTGAGATAGATAGATAGATAGATAGATAGATAGATAGATAGATAGATCAATCAGTAATTTGGATTAATATTGGCCTTATCTCATATTGGGCGGCAGCCATTAAGCCCATCGTGGCGTCTACAGCATTGTCAATGAAGCTAAGCAGTTTTTAAAACTAATCGCACGCATTTATCTTGCGTAGCAAATTGTCTTTGTGAACCTATTTTAGAACATAAATAGAGACAACAAAAGAATATTCTTGCGTTGCACAACACAACACAAAATGATCCCAACTATCTGTGTCTAACATTCTTCAATTCAACACGTTTTGCCCGGTTACAGTAATTGTTTTCTTCGCTACTACTCATCTCTGTAATCACATTTACTACAAAACAGAGCGACCTGCGTTACATGGAGCTTCTTATCTCATACCTCCCGTCAGTGAGACTCCCTTCCTATCACTTACTTCTCTGTTAGCTATAATATTCAAATATTCAAATGTAATATCAACCGACATCTTCTGATGCCTTGACCTTGATCTGTGTCCTTCTCTTTATCCTTTTCCCAAACACTCCTCTTTATTCTTACTCTCACTCTTTGTAACCCTTTGCGTGCTAGTGGCACTCCCGCCTTGTTTGGAGGTTATTTGCATATATATATATATATATATATATATATATATATATATATATATATATGGTCTAGAGCCCCCGTTGTTTGTCTCAAAGTCCTCGGAAAAATCCAGAGACGGATATGCAATGTGATTGGTCCTGATCTGGCATCTCGTCTACAGTCATTTTCACAGATATTTCGTCTCTTCTCTCTGTCTTTTCTACAAATACTTTCACGGTAACTGCTCCGACAAGCTACTTTCGTTGGTTCCCAAATTGCATGAATTTAAGCGTGCTACTAGGTAGGCATCTCAGTCCCACCCTTTCACTGTCAAAACGGTTAAATGCAGTCGTCTCTTCTACTCCAATATCTCTCGCACTTCCCGTGTGTGAAACTCCCTTCCTCTTACTTGCTTCCCTGATAGCTATAATCTTCAATTCAAATTCAATGTCAATCGACATCTTCAGTTGCCTTGATCTAATTCCACGTCCTTCTCTTCAACCCTTCCTCTTACTCTTCCTCCCATTCTCTGTAACCCCTAGCGTGCTAGTGACACTCTCACCTTGCTTGGGGTGAAATGCTTAAATAAAGAAGACATTTTTATCATTGGCATTCATTCAAAGAAAGCTGCCAAAATGGGCATTTTTATAAGGCATCTCCGTTACACTCATTTTCATTGTGGAATAACTGGCCATGGCGAAGTATAATTGGTAAAAGTGTCAACAAGAGGAATTGACAAATTTTCATTAAACAATAAGAAAAGTAAGAAAAAGAACATGACAAGCTAACAGTAAACAAAGAATATATAAGCAAACCAACGGTAATAAGGCAAAAAGATCGCTAAATGAGCATTGTATTCAAACGCAAAAGGGATGCATTCAAATGGTTTTATCGTTCTCACTTCAAGACAAGAAAGACGCCACAAGGATCTGCTCGAACTTTAATATATCCGGGAAAGAACCTATACTGACAGCAAACGGCATACATGCGCATAGTGAACGAGTTCAGTGAATATATAAAAATAGAAAGGGACGTAAGGCAAGGATGCGTCTTCTCACCGGACTTATTCAACCTATACAGCGAGGCAATTCTGAGAGAATTGGAAACCGTACCGGGATTTAGCATTGGCGGCCACAATCTTAACAGCATAAGATAAACAGATGATACAGTACTGATGGCAGACTCGGAAACTAAATTCCAAAATCTCCTGCAGAAAGTAGCAACAAAGAGCAAGAAGAATAAACAACAAGAAGACAGAATTCATGGTCATCAGTAAAAGGATGAACCCGAAATGTGATTTGCAGGTCAGGGACACTAAAATCAAGCAGACTCGGAAATTTAAATATCTGGGAATTGTTTTGACAGAGGATGTTTAGTGCGACACTGAGATCCGTAGGCGTATTGGGCAGAGTATTGCGTGACAAGAGGATTTCTTTTGTAACAAAGAAAAGATTACTGAGCAGTTACGTGACATTTGTCCTTCTTTACAACAGCGATTACTGGACGATTTCCTCAAAGATGAAGCAGAAACTCGAGGCAACGGAGATGTGGTTCTACAGAAGGATGCTAAGGATATCACGGACTGAGCGTGTGAGCAATGATGAGGTCTTAGAGAGGATGCAGACAAGAATTAGGCTTATATTTAACATCAGAAAGAGGTAGCTGAAGTTTCTGGGATACATAATGAGGAAGGAGGGCCTGGAGAATCTGATACTCACGGGTCGAATAGAAGAAAAGAGAGACAAGGGAAAACAATGCATGACTTATCTAGCGGGCTTAAGCAAGTGGATGACAGAACGTGGTCTGGGAGGAGGAAGCAGAGGAAAGAAACTTGTTGAGAACTGCAAGGGATAGAGGGAGGTGGAGAGCCATGATCGCCTACGTCCTGAAAGAAAATGGCACATAAAAAGAAAGCGACCAAGTATTGTCCATTTTTATCGATTAGAAAGAAATCGCAGTATACATCTGTAGGATTTGTCTATAAATTTGGGGAGGGGATGTTCTTAGCAGCCATTGCCATTAGATTGGAACCAACATTTATATATGTTATGGTGAAACACACCTATTCTATAGTTAATAGACTCTCCCACCTATAATAAGTAGGAGTAGTAAGAGTAACAAGTCAGTCGCTCAGGGAGTTAGTCAGTCAGTCGATGTCGGACGAGAGTTAGTCGAATACTAAAGTATCAGCGACCACAACTAGATTTACTCTGCGTCATTACCTATTATATCAAGTTCCTAACGTTTTGTACGTCGAACCTATTTTAGGACCGACTTAGTACAAATACAAGTCTCCACTGTGAAACCACTACATAACAACTTGGCGACGAGGGATTCGAATTCATACGGAGGAAGAAAAACCTTTCGTACTACATAACAACTTGGCGACGAGGGATTCGAATTCATACGGAGGAAGAAAAACCTTTCGTACTACATAACAACTTGGCGACGAGGGATTCGAATTCATACGGAGGAAGAAAAACCTTTCGTACTACATAACAACTTGACGACGAGGGATTCTAATTCATACGGAGGAAGAAAAACCATTCGTACTACATAACAATATATAAACATTTCACAAACATCCAGCACTTTAAAAGCAATTTCCTGCACTTTGTAAGTGTTGCGGTAAACCCTCCTACAATAGAATGAACTATTCCTCCTCTCATAAATACTAACTGCGAGACTTCCTAGCCGTAGAGTCGTAGTAGACTTGCAGAGCAGCGCAGACGCAGCGTTAATCTGCCGGTCGGTCGTACACTCCTATCTGCTTATTGCTAACACTCTTGCTTTGTATATATATCTATTATTTCAATAGACTTGTTCAACCTACCTTCGTCTTCCGTGTCTTTCTTTCTGGCCCCTAAACAAGCCACAACAGTAAGTTTGTGTAATATTCCTGTATAATTTTGTCGTTATTTGTTACACAACATTGGAATTGTCCCATTTTGATTTTGTCTCTCTTAATTCCCACACTCGTGACCAGGTTTACTTGTTTTTCTTCCTTTATCCATTTAGTAGTAAACAATGGTTGTTGGTTCATCCTGCAACAAGGTCGCCGACGTCTCTTTTAAGTAGAAGATTTACATACCACTGCCATTAAATACCGTCCTGGGTATGACGATAAACTACATCCGCGTCCTGGGTATGACGATAAACTACATCCGCGTCCAGGGTAAGACGATAAACTACGTCCAACAGCAAAGCCTCTGATCAGGAGGCTTTGAGGAGTGTGGAACCACCTCTTAATTGCTGGTGTTTCCAGGTCCACCCTGACCCGGGGTGGTAGCACCTGTTAGGGTCCCAGCTATGGGCAAATAGTTAGCCCCGAAACTGAGGTAAAAAGCAGTATGAAAGTGTAAAAATAGGTTTTAATACCAGAAATACTTTGTAAAAAATTATTACCAGAAAAATTTTTTGAAAGAGAAAAATATTACCAGCAATACATTTTTTTAAATAATATTACCAGATATACATTTTTGAGGAAGAAAATATTATCAGAAATAGATTTTTGAGAAAACAAAAATATTACCAGGAAAAAAAAGTTGTCGGTATTAAATGACCCATTGAGATGTTGATATGCCGTAAGACAAAACAAACAAACAAAAATTGCTATTAGATACAAGGAAAGGAAATACATTATCTCTGGACTCTTTGCCCTTAAGTAATGGTTATTAAGCGATTTTCAGACAAGGCAATAAAGCCACTAAGACACAAGAGTTTACTGAGTATGAAAGAATAAGAAAACGAGAAACATTATTAAGGAAAGAGAAGAATAAAAAACGAAGAATCAAGAAGACTGTAGATAACGATTGACATTGCATTTAGATTTTTGAAGATCTAAGCTGGCTGGAAATCAAGAAGCCGTAAGAGAGTTCCACAAGCGAGAAGTGCGAGAGAAGAAACTGTTAGCATAGAACTTACGGCAGCATCTTAGCTATTTGAACTGTAAAATGATGAGAGCTTGCCGCCAAATCAGTACTGCGCTTAGATTCAAAGTCTAAGTAGCAAAGGGGAAATTTCATCGGAACATTTCCCTTGAAAATATTTATAAATAGGCCACATGGAAGTTATACTTCGGTGTTGGAAAAGTCACTGAAGCCGAGGAGCCAGATCAGAACGAATAACATTGCGGATTTTTCTTTTGATTTTACCAATCAAAAATCTCTAAATATAAAGTAGGAGCACTAGTCATGTCTTGGCAGCAATATAAAAATCAGGGGCGAATAGTAGACTTATAAATCAATAGGTGTTTCACTTAAACAAAAGCCAGGACTTTAAAAGCTCCCTCTCGCCTTTTGTCATACAAAGCTATGATACACAAATATCAACAAGTGTTTTATCCATGCTATGGGATAAAATAGCTCCACTGTTTGCGTGCCTTATGGAAAAATGTTAGTGTAAAGTACCGATCATTATTTCATTAATTCCATCGGATGCCTCCAGTTCTTTCCGCACGAGGAAGTGAAGCATCTGCTGGGAAATTACCCTTGGAATACTCGACAGCTTCAAGGGAAAAATTGAGCAGTGCTTGCGGGATTTAAATCTATCCAGAAGGAGAAATAAGGAAGAAGAAAAGGGTGTTTGAAAGAGATGAAAAACAAAGAAACAACAGAATATAGAGAAGAGAAAGATAGAAAAATAAAATCTATAAAAGAAGTGACTGGAAGAAAGAAAGAAAGAAACAAACAAACAAACAAACAAAGAATGTGTTTAAAATTAATGAAGCAAAGATAGAAAAAGAAAGCGGGTATGAAGCAAAAAATAATAAAGAAAAAAAAGAAAAAAGAATGAAATAAAAATTAAGAAAAGAAAAAGGAAAAAAAAAGAAAGAGGAATTCAGAAAGATATAAAGAAAATGCGATGAAGCAAAAACTAAGAAAGGAAAATGTTAAAAAGAAAGAGAGAGGGGATGGAGCAAAAACTAAGAAAGAAAGAAAGAAAGAAACAAACAATGTGTTAAAGGTTAATGAAGCAAAAACTAAAAAAGAAAGAAAAAGAAAGAGGGAATGAAGCAAAAACTAATAAAGAAAAAAGAATGAAACAAAAATTAAGAAAAGAAAAACTAAAAAGGAAAGAAAAAAGAAAGAAAACTAAATGAAATTTGAATAAAAAAAGAAAATTGAATGAAAAATTGAATGAAATAAAAACGGTAAGAATGGTAATATAAAACAGAAATAAAGAAAGAAAGAAAGAAAAAGAAAGAAAGAAAGAAAAAGAAAGAAAGAAAAAGAAAGAGAAAGAAAGAAGAAAAGATGGAAGAATGTTGAATGAAAATAGAAATAAAACATGAAATATAAAAAAAGGGGAACTGAGAATGAAAAAGGAGAAAAAAAGAAGAAACTAAAAAGAAGAGAAAGAAAGAAATATAAAGAAAAAGAATAAAAGTATTAAAGGAAGAAACTAAAAATAAAGACGCGAAGAAATTAGAATGAAATAAAAGAGGAAGAAGAATGAAATAAAAAGTTAATTAAATACAGAAAGCAGGAATGCAAAAAGAAAAAAAAATGAAAGAAAGAAAAAAAAATAGAAGGAAACAGAAAGAACGGAAGGTACGTCAATCGTAATATCTTCAACAATTTGATCACAAATGATAATTTGATAATTTTTCCAGTTGGTAAAAAATTGCTGAGAATCCTTTGCTTTATTTGGACGTGGAAGCATGACATTAAAAGAAATTGGAGAAGGAATGAGGTTTCTGATATCAAATCGTCTAACCACTTCAAACTGTAGATTCAAACACCTCATAAGCGAATGGACGCTTGGAAGACAGCGGCAAACGAATACCACCGATTCTTCGCATTCAATACTGCAACAAATGACATGTCGTGTCTACTTTCAAACCCATCATTTTACCGCATCTTCGCATTTTTTTTTTTACTTTGATCGTGCCATCCTTAATCAAACCCCGTTAGTGAATAAGTAATAGACTATGAAGGAGGTGAGAGTTGGCTATGAAGATAGAGAGAGGATGGCTTTGGAAGCAAGCGATAGAAAAAACAAATAGGTGAACTGAAAAAGGGAGAAAAAAGCAAGGAAAAAGACAGAAAAATGAAATCATTCAGAAACGTGAATCTTAGGATTTACTAAGCACTTGTATGTCTGGAACAAGGCCAAAATAGTCGAGTGCTCAGTGAGAATAGTCCTTAATAAAGTCTGACAGATGAGCTTGTTAACCATCAATCGATAGCAGTTTAATCACCTTCCGAAGAAGATATGTCTGTCCGCAGATGAACAAATAAGAGAGAGAGGGGGGAGGAGGAGTAGAAGGAGGAGTAGGAAAAGGAATGGAGAGAGATAAAGTCGGATGTAAGAAAAAAGATGGAATGTAAGAAGAAATAGGTTGCCTACAGAGATGACTGATATTGTTGGTTTATTGCCAATAGTGTCAGTAACAGGTGTTCAAACCATGGCAAAGGCCAAATTTTCGAATACTGATTTTCAAGGAACATGAGCAGAAAGACAACACTTACTAGCACTTGATGCAGAATATATTTGCAGAATATATTTCATTAATTCCATATTGGTACAGTACCGAACTAAGCAAGTACCAAATACTTGAGAGATGGTGTGAGGGAAAGAGAAAAAGACATAATTACGGAAAAGGTAGAAGAAATAAAAGATAATGAGAAACGATGAAGAAAGAAAGTAAGAAAGAAAGAAAGAAAGAAAGAAAGTAAAAAAAAATGAAGAAAGGATGTGTTAAAGAGAAATTAAGCAAAGAAAGAAAGAAAATGGAATAAAAACATAAACTAAGAAAGAAAAATTAAAAAATGTAAAAGAAGGAATTGAGAAAAAATTAAGAAAGAAAGAAAGAAAGAAAGAAAGAAAGAAATTAAAAATGTAAGAAAGAATAAGTTAAAAAGTAATGAAGCAAAACCTAAAAAGTAAAAAAAAGTAAGAGGGAATTAAGCAAAGACTAAGAAAGAAAGAAAGAAAGAAAGAAAGAAAGAAAAAAGGAATGAAATGAAAAATATGAAAAAAAAGTAAAAAAAAGAAATAATGAGGGAATTAAACAAAAACTAAGAAAGAAAGAAAATGGAATGAAAACAACGAAAAAAAGTAAAAAACAAATAAAGAGGGAATTGACCAAAAACGAAAAAAAAAGAAAGTAGAAAAATTAAGAAAAATTAAGTTAAAAAGTAATGAATCAATAATTAAGAAATTAAGAAAAAAGAAAGAACAAATTCAGAAGTAAATCTAATAAAATGAGAATGAAAGAAAAAGGAATGAAACAAAATTTACATAGTGTTTGCTTTTTCTTTGCTTTTTATTTTCTGTTTTCTTAATTTTTGTTTCATTCTTTCTTTTTTCTTTATCATTTTTTGCTTCATTCCCTCTTTCTTTTTCTTTCTTTTTTTACTGTTTGCTTCATTAATCTTTAACACATTCCTTGTTTGTTTGTTCGTTTCTTTCTTTCTTTCTTTCTTTCTTTCTTTCTTAGTTTTTGCTCCATTTCCTCTTTCCTTTTTACTTTTCCTTTATTACTGTTTTTAGTTAATTTTTAACACATACTTTTTTAAAAATTTTTACTTTCTTTCTTTCATTCTTTATTTCAGTTCATAGTTTTTGCTTCATTAATAAATCCCCTCAGGACACTAGAGGTGTTGCCTCTCCCCCTCATCATCGTGGACCACATTTGGTCACCGCGAGCCGGGATCGACCCTAAAAGACTACAATTTGGTGTGGTGCAGATCTGACTACAGGATGACTACAACCAACCCAAGAAAAGAACTCACACAGCGAAAAGCAAGATGAGAAAAATGTGTGATAACCAAACGGGCGCTGGTCATTTTGACTATACGATTCTAAGAATACACTCTGTATTTGTTTTTATTATTCTCTCGATGAATTGACAGCAACCCAGGAACAAGTGGCAACAAGTGACAGGTAGGACACTTTTCGGTTTTTCTCGGAAATTTCTCGACCTTTTTTTTGTTGCGTCTTCCCAAGACGATTTGATATATTTCCGATCTTTTCCGATTTTGCACGATTTGAATTGGTTTTTAACATGAGTGACCACAGTAGATATTGAGGATGAGGGGTCGAGGCAACAATCCATTAGTAGTATGAGGGAATTGCTGGGAGGGCCCAGGGTCCCAGACATTTGGGCGAGCCCAAAAGACATAAAAGATAGCGTCAGTCAAGAATTTATTTAACATGAGTGACCTGAAGTGTTTAATATCGAGTATTGGGGAGAGAGGCAACAACCCCTTGGGGATTGTTGGGAGGACCCAGGGTCCCAGCCTTTGAGTGGTGAACCCAAAGGAAGTGAAGGCCTGGCTAGCGTCAAACGAGAAGGGACGGTGCATATATGAGCTGACTGATAAGGAAATGGTATACGTAGTGTATAGCGCTGCGCTGGGAACAGCACTTGGTGGGAAAACTCCAGTTGACTTGGAATGAGCTGAAGGAACTACTTATAAAGGAATATGCCGACGAGGGGACAGTGAATGAGACCAAGAAGAGGGAGTGAGGCAACAGTTATAAAGACAAGAAAAAACAAAAAGGAATGAAAAAAAAGGCTAAGAAAAAGAAATTTAAAAAGAAAGAAAGAGGGAATTGTGCGAAAATTAAGAATGAAAGAAAGTAAAAGGAATGAAAGAAAAACTAATAAAGAAAAAGTAAAAAAAGAAACAAAAAGAGTGAATTCAGCAAAAACTTATAAAAATGAAATAAAAAACGAAAGTAAAAAATTAAGAAAAATGTGTTAAAAAGAAATGAAGCAAAAACTAAGAAAGAAAAGAAGGAAAGAGAAATGAAGCAAAAAAACTAATAAAGAAAGAAAGAAAATGGAATGATGCAAAAACTAAGAAAAAGTAAAAAGAAAAAAGGGTAAATGAAGCAAAAACTATGAACGAAAGAAAGAAAAAAATTTTAAAATGTATGTGTTAAAAATTAAAAACTAAAAAAGTAATAAAGGAAAAGTAAAAAATAAATAAAGATGGAATTCAGCAAAAACTGAAAAAGAACGAAAGTAAAAAATTAAGAAAGAATGTGGTAAAAAAATGAGGCAAAAACTAAGACAGAAAAAAGAGGGAAGGAGTAAAAACTAAGAAAGAAAGTAAAAAAAATTAAGAAATAATGTGTTAAAAGGTAATGAAACTGAAACTAAAAAAGAAAGAAAAAGAAAGAGGGAATGAAGCAAAAATTAATAAACAAAGAAAGAAAAAAAAGAAAAACTAAAAAGAAAGCAAGACGAATTGTGTATAAACTAAGAATGAAAAAAGTAAGAAATTATTTGTTAGAGCTAATGGAGAAAAAGTAAGGAAGAAAGAAAAACGAAAGAAAGAAAGATAAAAAAAAACTAGTAAATAAAAAAAAACAATGAAACAAAGAAGAAGAAACATAGTAAAGGGAAAGAAAAATGAAAGATGAAAAAATAGGGAAAGAAAGAACGAAAATAAAAAATATTCAGAAAGAATGAATTAAAAGTAATGAAACAAAAACTAAAAAAGAAAAGAAAAAGAAAGAGGGAAGTAATCAAAAACTACTAAAGAAAGAAAATGGAATGAAACAAGCAATATGAGAGAAAAAATAAAAAAAGAGGGAATTGAACAAAAACTGATTAAAAAAGAATGAATGTAAATACATTACGGAAGAATGTGTTAAAAAATGAAGAAAAAACTAAGATAAAAAAGAGGGAATGAAGAAAAACTATAAAGAAAAAACAAAGAAAATGGAATAAAGCAAACGCGAAGAAAGAAAAACTAAAAAAGCCGGAATTGAGAATGAAAGAAATAAAGTAAAAAAATTAAAAAAAGAATGTCCTAAAAAGTAATGAAGCGAAAACTAAGATAAAAAAGAGGGAATGAAGGAAAATCTAAGAAAGAAAGAAAGAAAGAAAGAAAGAAAGAAAGAAAGAATAAAATTAAAACTAAGAAAGAAAAAATAACGAAGCAAGAAAGAAGGAATTCAGCAAAAACTAAGAAAGGAAGAATGAAAGTAAAAAATAATAAAGGATGCGTTAAAAAGTAATGAAACAAAACCTAATAAAGAAAGTAAAAAGGATGAGAAAATGAAGGAAAGACAAAGAAAGAAAGAAAGAAAGAAAGAAAGAAAGAATAAAATTAAGACTAAGAACGAAAAATTTTAAAAAGAGAAGGCGAAATTGAGCAAAATCTAAGAAAGAAAGAAAAAGGAATGAAACAAACAATATGAGAGAAAACTAAAAAAAAATAAACAGGGAATTCAGAATGAAAGAAATGAAGTAAAAAAATAAGTAAGAATGTGCTAAGAAGTAATGAAGCGAAAACTAAGAAAGAAAGAAAGAAAAAAAGGAGGAAAAGTAAAACACAAAGAAAGGATCTGTTGAGAAGAAATGAAGCCAAATCTAAAAAAGAAAGAAAAAAAGAATGTGTGATTGAAGCAAAAACTAATTAAAAAAAAGAAATAATAAGGAATGAAATCAAAACTAAGAAAGAAAAAGTAAAAAAAAGAAAATGCGAACTGAACAAAATCTAAGAAAGAAAGAAAGAAAGAAAGAAAGAAAGAAAGAAAGAAATAACTTGGCAAAAGGAAAGGAAACAGTAAAAATGAAAGAAAACAAAAAGATAGAAAAGAAAGGGTCAAAAGTGACTCTATTACTAACACGAATAGAACATGTCAAGAAATGGGGCCGAGGATATAATATCAGATTTAGACTATTGAAATTCCTAGAACACCTTATAAGGAAAGATGACATGGAAAATTTAACACTCACAAGTCATACCAAACGAATTGGGGAAATAATATCTAAGTTACCTGATATGTTTGAATGAAGTGGAAATAAAAAGGATGGGAAAAAGGCAAAAGTCGCTTAGAGCTATAACAGAAGGGAAGTTGTGGAGAGTTATGATCGTTAGATAAAGAAGAAGAATCAACAAAATGACAAAAAGGAATATAAATATAGAAAGGACAGAATCTCTCAGTAAGGAAAAGAACTTGAAATATACGTAATCTGCATTTGCTTTCTCAACGGTAATGAACTTCGAATTGGCTGTCGCTTAAGACGACTAAGTCCAGTATGTCATATTATTTAACTCATAATTAGGGAAGCGAAAAATGGATTTATGCCTTTCCAAATGGCATTAGTGCAAAAACAAATACAGCAAACTAGGCTTGAATTTGAACTAAACTTGCCGATAACTGTTATGCTATCTACAGACCTAAATAAAAATTCTATGTTCAATTTCAGAAAACAGAAATAAGAATAAGGGATGATGATCTGGAAAAGATTCAGGAATACATCTACTTAGGAATGGTGAAAACATTAAAGTGATTTCATGAAATGTTACAGGGATACGAGAAAAAATTCTCGATAGGACAGAATTTTTTTAAGTATATGAAGTATGTAATTGCCAATACAACTACCGACGTCGTTTCGAGAACTAGCTATTCATTTTTTTAATTACGTGTAAATGTTTTTTAAACATGTATTTATTAAATACAAACGTCTGGAATACGTTCTAAATCTTACCTACCTGTCTGCCAGCCTCCCAACTCTCTCTCATTTTCCGCTCTCTCACTCTTTCATTTCTACATTTCCTATATCTTAAAATTGCCAGACTGGTTTAATTCAATTTTGTGGGTCCGTGGACCCCTACTTGGGAACTTGTACCCAAGGAGTTTGATGACCCATTATTTGGGAACCCATCCACAGAGTACGAACCCTTCTGCACCTTTTTCTTAGCAAGTAATGACCCTTTTGTTTTCTTGAATCTGATACATCTAATCTAATAAGATGGCCACTAATATGTCTTCTTTTCAATGCGCATGCGTAAACGCAGAATGTTGACTTTTCACGCTGAGAGCAGACGATTTTTTGTTCACATCTATATGAGGTGGCTACGAGCAACTGCGGGAGTTTAAAGTCTTAGAACGGTTAAATCTGAAAGATACTCACATCAATGAAAATATCAAATCCTAATTATTCTTTTAATCATTTCATCCCGAACAACCCGATAATGCAAGAGGCGCAAGAGGGGTGGGGGCTACTGTGATTAAAAGAGAATGAGAAGACGTTATTAAAGAGGAAGGACAATGAAAGAACAGGGATCAGGAAGACAAATGATGGCGATTGATGTTGCATTTAAATGTTTGACGCTTGAAGGCGAGAAGTACAAAGAGAAATTATTTTCATAGGACTTAGGGTCATATCTAGCTATTTCAAAAGTAAAACGATAAGACCTAGTTACCAATCTAATTCATGTTTCAATTCATGCGACCGAGATACCAAGAAGAAAAGCACAATATAATAATTACCATGAAAATATTCAGGGAAAAGACAGAAGGGAATTGTTTGACGCCAAAATGCCAAGTCAGAATTATAAACCCTGCTTTTGATTTTGTCAAGAATCTCGAGCTATAGACCAGGTGCATCGGACAAGATGTAGTAGCAATATTAAATGCACGGATGAATGGTATATTTATAAACCTGCAAGATGGACACTGGAGAGAAAACTTGTCTGACACGACATAGTGAATCAACTTTATTAACAATGTGCCTAGTAATTGATTCAATATAATTATTCCACTTTGTATGAGTGGAAAACGTGAGATGAAAAATACACAATGAGTTTCTCTTCTGGAGGTTAGCATCAGCCATGCTGATGGAAGGCATCAAAAATAATTCTCTAAGATGACTTAGAAATTTTTTTTTTTTTTTTTGGCGGGTGTTAAAATTATTTACAAGTCATTTCTTGTCCCAGTTAACAACTGACTGAAGGTCATTTTCGAGATCAGCTTCCACTTTTACCTTATCGGACTTATAGAACTTATTATTAAGACAGATTTTATGTCATCAGCATAAATACCGAGATAGGAAATGATAATATCGAGAAGGTTATTGATAAAAATCAGAAACAAGTCGAAAGATAGACTCCTAGAGCAACCCCGCATTATTGTGAAAGGATCTAGAAAACAAGCCGTTCAACATGATTTTCATTACACGATTTCTTAAGAAAGATTGAATCAAATCAAAAAATGGGCTGAGGACACCATAGCCTTTCAGCTTTTGAAGTAGGTGAGCAGGCCACACCTTGTCAAATGCCTTCGAGATATCTGTGACCATAGCCCTAACCTCGCTGTTCTTATCAGCATCAGACTATGGCAAGAACTTGTCAAGATAAGCAAACACTGCCCATACCGCATAAGATTCTAGTAGTCTTGATCCTGGGTCCTTCCCACGTTGCTTAGTACTACCGCCTGTTAACTGATGGCTATCTGCTGCCGGCTTCGTTCCTTCATCTGTCCTGCCCCACGTTGGGTTCCTTGACATAGAGCAGTGAAGATCTAATTTCTTCCGTACTTAAGCGCTGAATTAAGCTGCGGTGGAACCGTGCTACAAAAGGGCAGAGAACACTTCCGCTGGCGAAAATACAAATGACATAACAAATAACGAAGAAGGTCGCTGGGTTAATTTTCAGATGGTTTGTATCGTCGTTGATAAACAAAAGTAACCGACCCCGTTAACCTCTCTATCGTGACACTGGGTCTCTTTTTTCTAAAACTTGGAGCGGGTTAAAATATACAACACAAGGTGGTTTGTCGGGAACTCTATTGGCAGCAGGTCACGTTGGGTTCAGCAGCTCCTTCATCCACCGCTGTCACGTCTCGTTTCTCGCTCTAAGTGATGGCTTTAATTAAACACTCTGTTTATATATATTTCGCCTAACTCCTACAGCACCTCAGCACGCATCAATATTCATATCAATTAATTATTTTTCCAACATTGGGTAAACGATACCGACCTTAAAACAAAGCGGTCAGTTATTCTAAACAATACATTCTTCGACAACAATAATTTTCCGATAACAAATGCTTGTCTTCAAAAATTATTTCAATTTTTCTTATATCAAAGAATTTTCACATTCCTCATTCCACAGGACATATTTTAGACTGCTTACATCATCGGCTTCGCGATTTATAATAACTCAGTTCGTTTCTTGGCCGACAATTAATATTCATATCAATTAATTATTTTCTCCACTTGTAGAGAAACGACACTGACCCTCAAACAAAGCGGTCACTTAATCAAAACAATATATTATTCGACAACAATATTTTCCTCATTCATCGGGACATATTTTATACTGCTTACATTCCGATTTTACGGATTCATAATTCTGTTTGCCCATCAGTTTATCAGAAAAAAACATTTCTCTTTTTTCTTTGTTCCATATTTCAATTCATGTTTTAACTTTAACGTTTTTAACCCTTCCACTTCTCCAATTCCTATACAGGGTTTTCACATGAACACTTTTAATTCTAATTTCATATTACCAGTGTCACAATAGTGTCACATTGTTACTGTGAATGAGTTACACACATCTCTCCGATTAAATATAGGCATTTCGTCATGAATTCTACAGTATACGAAATATTAGTTTTACCAAGGTTCGAATGCTGACCACTACGAGTAGATGAAATTTATGCAACTATGAAACGTACAAAGCTTATCGTCCTCTTCACACGATCTCTCTCAGCTTAATTATTTCTTCTACCTTTTCAAAATTTCCTTTTTCTTAATTTCTCCTTTTTGATTTTCCTTTTTCTTTCTTTCTTTCTTAAGCAGTTTTTTTTTGGTTCTTTTTCTTTATGTCACATTTTGTTCATTTTCCTTTCTTTCTTCCTTTTTCCATTGTCTTCGTTTTACGCTGATTTTAATGAGGTACCTCTAAAAACGAGAAAAAAAAAACGATACCTAAGGTTTAAAATGAATTTTTTAAAAATGAAAAATCCTTCTTGATGCTTTTATTTTAGTTTGAATTTCAAGCTAACAGATTAAATTTAATATTTCTAATAAGCAAAATACTTTGCTGCATTTCAAAAACTAATTTAAACTGGGTGGAAGGAGTTTTTTTTTTTTTTTTGCTAAAATAGTTGATTGGCGCCCTTTTTTAGTCATCTTTCATAGAGATGTCATTCTCTTTATAAAAAAATCCTCTAAAAATAAATAAAAAATATACTTTTCTGAAACGTATTTGATGAAAATATTCTCCGTAATCTAACGTTTTATTAAATTAAAAAAATGTTGACTTTAAATTTACATATTTTTTTTATTATATCGTGTATGGTAGGCCGTACTTACTAAGATCGGCACATACAAAAAATTCAAAATTCTTTTAAAAATATTGGTGTATGATGATTTTTTAAGTTTTTCCATTTATGATGAGCAAGTTTACACTTAATAATAACATCATCTAAAAGGCTGAAATTAATACAGAATTTTAAAGAAAATGAAAACAATTCTTGTAAAATCCATTATTCATCGAAAGTTTTTCTTAAGAGAATAGTGTCTTTAATATATCCTATTTATAAAAGCAATTAAAAAGTTTTTCTAATGATATAGTTTTATTGCATTTTTTATTTTACAATTCAGAGCATTTCGGTATATGGTGTTTCTGTTAGACAGAAACAAATAGAGGATTTAAATTCTCCAAGTACTCCTGCTTTTAACTAATATAAATATGAAAGGTTAGAATTTTGATTACCCGAAATTTCATAAAATTAAGTAGGGTTAACAGATGTAAAAGAATATATGTTTACGAAAATTTTCTAAAACAAATAATTTCCTTCATGTGTGAATGAGATATGAAAATTTAATTTAAATCCAACAATTATT